GGGTTTCTTCTTGGCTTCCAAATCCTTTTTAATCTCTTCAAGTTTTTTAGCCAAGTTTGGTATGTCATAGTTCTGAGCCAGATACATTCCAACCACGTTGCCAAAAGTAAATCCAAGCAGGAACTGGAGCATGCTGTCCGCGGAGAACACAAGGAGGGACAGAAGGGCGGCTACAGCTCCATGGGCCGGTCGGAGCCTGCCTGCCCAGGCGCGGAGGCCTAGAGGCAAACAACTTTTCTATGTTCCGTCAGCTGCTATCTTGTAGGTCCCATTGTCACAGAGACTCTCAATTAGGTTTACTGTTTTGTATTCCTAACAACAACATTTCTAAGTTAAATCCCAATTATTTCCCACCTAAAATTTGCAGSAGAGTCCAGGCTAGGCTGCCTATTGCTAGTATTTTCCTGCTTGGAATTCTAAATATTTCTCAAATTCATTATACCAAGTTAATCCTCCTAAAGGGCAGTTCTGTTTTGCCAATCTCTGTCCTACATTATCTTTCATTTATTTATTTAATGTGGTACTGAGGATCAAACCCAGGGCCTCGAACATGCTAGGTGAGCACTCTACTGCTGAGCCACAATCCTAACCCCTAAAGCTCATTTTTAATATCACTTCTGTCATTAAGTGTTTTGGGGGACTGATGAACCCAGCCTAATCCATTTTAAAATTGAGAGACAACGCATCACAAAGTCATAAAAAGTTAATATCTGTTTTACTGTAAATTACTGAGATTTCTAAACTTGTTTGGAAGTCCTGCCCATGCTCTGAACTCACCCATGCCTGGCTTTCCTTGACAAGATRGCAACCCTCCTTGAAACTTCAGCGGCACCTCATAAATTCTGATGTTGGGATCTGAATTTACTTCTATCTTGAAATATCACGCCATGTAGATCTTTAACCTGCTAGCTGTCTTTGTATTACACTTGCCAAAATCCTGTTATCTGTAAGTTTTCAAGACACGCCCCCCCCTTTGCAACTTTTTGTGCTATAAAACCTTGTTCCTGTGTTATGCTCAAATTTGGGACACCCAAAAGACCACCAGAGACCAAGATCGATGTAAGCAGCAAAGAGGCGTTTATTTCGAACTAGCTGGGTCCTCCGCGCACACAGCAACTGGTGATGCTGAGAGGCCCCAAGCCCAGGGTTTGCAGCAGTTTTATACACTCTCTGGGGAAGTCAGGGACTTCATATACATCATAGCATCTCTTAGCAAATCATCACACACCGCAGGAAAATTATAAAACAACTCTAAAACATGATTAGCACGTTCACTGGAGCAAGTTGGGTAGGGG